ATTGGGAGTAGGGGGTGTTTTTCCACACCAACAAGCAATTCTAGGATTCCAGCTGGGCGTCCTATAACTCAGCTCAGTTTTGACACTATCTGTGGGAGATGGCATCAGATCTCAGTTTCAGGGCTCAGTCCTACAAGAGTTAACTCCACTCCCTCATATGCCAGTAATATGTCTAGACTGTCACCTGGGCTTCTAACCTACCAGGCATGCGTTGGAGTCTCCTACTACCCACTCCTTGGGTTCAATTAATTTGCTGTAACTACGCGCAGTACTCAGAGAAGCAGTTTACTTACTAGATCACTGGTTTATTATAAAAGGATATAACTTAGGGACAGCCAGATAAAAGAGACGCATGACGCAAGGAACGGGGAAGGGGGCTGGTTTCCTGCCCCCACCAGGTGGGCCACTCCCCTCAAATCTCCGCGTATTCACCTACAGAGAAGCTCCCTGAATTGTCCTTTTGGGTTTTTATGGAGCCTTCATTACACAGGCACAGAATTGATTAAGTCATTGGCCACTGATGATTGAAATCCATGTGTGGCCTCTCTTCCCTCCCGGAGGGTAGGGCTGAATCACATTGTTGGTGTCTTTGGCACCCAGCCTCCATCCTTACCTGCTTTTCCAAAATCACCTGATAAATGTAACAAAAGATACCTTTTAGCCCTCTCATTAAAGATGATTTAATCCCTCTCCTACTAGGTCTTATTATAAGTCACAGTATCATACATACCCTCGTGGTGGGTGCATCCTGTCATCAGTCTCAACAGTGAAACCACACTTTGGGTGGGGGTCCACCTTAACTCAGTGGGATGACCAAAGCTCGTTGTATTTTATTGCTGTGTTTGTGTATTTGCAGTAAAGCATCCTTCAAACTTACTTTATGTGTAATGTAACTTGTATTGCAGTCTGATTTTAAGAAAAAAATAAGCTTCCTTTTCAAACTTTGGTAAAGCAACAACAATGGACTCATTGATATCTGTATGTCTGTCTTTTCATTAATAACGCATTGTCTTGATTAATACAGGTTTATAACAAGTGTTGAAATCAACTATACAGGATGTAATCTTTTCAGATTGGCTTCTTTCTCTCAATGTTCACGTAAGGTTACCCCATGTTCTTTTGTGGCTTGAGAGCTCACTTTTTTAGTGCTGTATATAGTATTTCATTATATGGATTAGTGCAGTTCACTTATCTCTTCACCTATGGAAGGATGTGTTGGTTGCTTTCAAGTTTTGGCAGTTACGAATAAAGTGCAGGGTTTTGTGTAAACACTAACAAGTACAGTTGCTGGATTGTTTGGTGAGTGTATCTTTAGTTTGTAAGAAACTGTCAAACATGCTTCCAAAGTGACTATACCATTTTGCATTCCCACCAGCAATGAATGAGATTTCATCTTGCTCCCCATCCTCACGAGCATTAGGTGTTATCAGTGTAAATTTTTATTTTTCAGAACTATTCTGGGTGTTCTAGCTGTGTTACTTAGGTATGTAGCCATGTATCCTTGTCCCTAAGGGCAAAGAAAGGCTATCTGCACCAGTCTGAGTGTGCTGTTGAATTTTGGGAAGGGAAGGGACTCAGACTTTTATGGCTCTGTTGGATATAGTTAATAGATTCATCATCCCAACCTGTCATATGGGCAGTGTAAACACCTGAATTGGTTTAATGGGGTTTGGGCAGGGTTCACTGTGGGAAAGGGAAGCTTGTAGATAGAACCCTTTGGACTAATTTAATGTACTATTTTTGCTTCTACATCTGAATATATGTAGAAATCGGTGTGTTGTATACTTGTAATTCCCAATCCCATAGGTACCAGGGCAAATTTTCTGATAGGGAAGAGCCACTTGTAAACAAATGCTAATACTTTTGAGTTCCCAAATCCTGGGCCACTTTGAGCTACAAGTATTTATGACTAATGATTTTCCTGATTGGAACCTCTGAAAGAGTTTTAGACTTGTCTCTAACCTCTCGTAGCTACCAAGTATATATCACTTTGGAAAAACAGCTATTAGCTTGCTAGTAGGCTCTTGTCAAAACTGAATGTCTGAATCATGGAGTCTGTTTAGGACTGAATCATGTTCCCCTAAAATTATATGTTGAAGCCCTGATCCCAAATTTTTATTTGGAGACAGGGTCTTTAAGTGGGTGAATATGGTTAAATCAGTTCATAAGGGTGGTCAGAAAGATCACAGATTGGCAGATTAAAGACACCCTCTGCCCACTGTGGGTCTGCAAACCTAGAGGGTGCCGATCAAACCATTTGGGTCACTCGTGTAGATCCTAGGAGTAAGGTCCATTATCCAAAGAAATTGACTGGAATCAGCAATAGGCTGATGGTCAAGGGAGTCTTGATGGACTTTTTATCCTTCGTACAGTCAGTAGCCATCTAATATTATTGGCTGTAGGGATGGCCTCTTTAAAAAAAGTCAGCTCCCTCACCTCCTGGCGTACGCACTTTAGTAAGGCAATTTGGTTACTGAATGCTGCTGTCCCCAGAAAGGGTTCATCTCCTTTTGGTCACTTTCTGAGCAATGATAGCACACAAACAGTGCTGGAGTTGTAGTGACCTTTTTTAAAAATTCAGGATTTCTTCATGACTGTTGCTGGGGATTATGCTTGTTTGTCATACAGCACTCCACTCTCTCCTGTCCAGATTGGTGCGCCTCTAACAGGCAGCTTAGCTAAGAGGGGTCCTAGAAGAATCAGACTTCATTCTGGTTTGGCCACCTGGATTCTCTTGTTGGATTGACATGCTTCGAGGTCCGGGGTGGGCCAGCTATGGCCCGTGGGCCAAATCTGGTCTCCTGTTTTTGTTAATAAAGTTTTATCTGTGATCTGTGGCTCCTTTTGTGTTATAGCAGCAGAATTGAGTAGTTGGAACAGGGGCGGTATGGACCTCAAAGCCCCAAATATCTGGCCCTTGAAAAGGGTTGCTCACCCGTGTCCCATATCAAAAGGCTAATGACCCCCATGGCTGAGTTCACTGTTCACTGACCCTGCGTGGCTCAGAGTGTGGAAGATGATGAGTCTCTGTAAATTCCGTAAAAATGCCTTTATTCTTCTTGCACCTGACCCTTCTGGGTGAAAGGACTGATGTGAGTAGAGGAAGACTGAAGAAAAGGTAAAGTGATAGCTAATGGAAAGGAACAAACTGCTTTTGTGGAGGGTGAGAAAGCCCACTGTGACACCTACAGAGGGTGCCTCTAGACTCTGGGAGGTGTGGAAAGAAGAGGACAGGAATGATCCTTGTCTTTCAGAGCCAACCCTGCAGTATGAGAAATGTATCTTTAATGAGATACATTTTATCCATGCACATGGTCCAGCTCTTCCCTGGACACTTCAACATAGCAATCATAGTTATCTAAGGTCTTGGTCCAATGGTTCTAACATGTAGGTCATTCTCTGCCTCCTGAAAATGGATTGTTTTGTTTTTTCCTTTTTGTATCGTACATTTTGCTTAAATGCTAGACATACTGCGAAGACCATAGAGACTGGAGTCAACAGTGTTGATGCCTGGGAACAGGCATGCTTATGCTGTCAGGCCATTAGTATTGGGGAATTGACCTAGGTCAGAGTTTTCTTGTTGCCAACTTGACCTTTACGTGTCAAGTTCTTCTAGTTGGGCTGCTTTTACCTTGTGCTTAGTGAGGGGGCTGGATCGTCAGAGGGTTTTGCTGACTGGTTTTGCTCCCACTTCCCTTGCCATCGCCGCATGCCGGCAGCCCAGGGAGGGTATCTCTTCTCCACATCTGCACCTCTCCCTCGATCATCCACTGCTTCTGCTCATTCTAGGTGCTGGGCGCCGCGTCAGGGTGGGCTGGGGGTTCTCTGTGGTCTTGGCCCAGCCTCAGTCTTGGGCAGGCCCTGTGTCCCTGGTCCCATGGATGGGGCTTTCGCAGCACACTCCCTCTCCTCCCACAGCGGCCAGACTGGCGCCACAGGGCCTCTCTTGGTAGTGTGAAGATCCTTAGCTCAAAATGGTTTTCTGCTCCTCCTCCAGAGGTAGAGGTTTTTGTTTCTTCTGTTTGTCCAGCAATAATGCATTTTGTGTCCTACAAATGATTTTCTATCCTTCCCTCTCCAGCAGGCTGATTATACCTCTGCTCTTTCCCCAGAGGCATGGATCTTGACTTGAGTCCCGTGGGCCACTGAGTTTCTTGCTCTTCCCTCAACAACTTAAAGCTTTTGCCTCATAGGAGAGAGGAGTCCAGAGAAGAGGCAGGGCTTCCTACCTGACCCCTGTCACCCCCAGTCATCTGCCTTATACCCATACCACCGAAGTTGGCACTCTTCAGTCTTTTTGCCCTGCTCCCTGTTTTTCTCCTGAGTAGTTGAGAGAAGCACCTGGAAAAGAGCTTTCGGGTGCTTGTGGACCCTTCTGTGGCAGGACCTTCAACACTAGCCCACATTTCAGAATTCATTAGAATTTTACCTGAGAGCCATCTCTTTCTCCAGTGTTCTGCCAACAGTGAGCAAATCATGTGGCCCATCTCTCTTCTGAGGGATTCCTCTTTCTTTGGAACTTGGTTTTCATGGTTTCCTTTCAGCCTCAGCTCTCTGACAGAATCAAAAAAAGTTTCAGTTTTTTCCCTGACCAGTGTAGCTCTGTTGGTTGGGTGTCGTCCCAGAATATCAAGGTTGTGTGTTCAGTCCCCAGTCAGGGCACATGCAAGAAGCAACCAGTGAATGCATAAGTAAGTGGAACAATGAATCGATGTTTCTCTCTCCCTCTTCCCCTCTCCTTTCCTCTCTCTAAAATCAATCAGTGAATAAAGTGTTTTAAAGAAAGAAAGGGATTCATTCAGTCCCTGGCTCTCTTACACCTGTGATCTCTGCTCATCAGTTTTCTGACTTGTACAGTGGGAATAATAATAATATTTTAACAGATTTGTCAATAGAGAAGTTTAAATAATGCCTGTGAAAGCACTTGTAAACTAGAAACTGCTGTAGAATAATAATGATCATTATTTTCTAATATGCCAATTCCTTTTTGCGGTTTTCAGAGATGATCTTCACGGCACAGAAGTAAGTCCAAGACAGAATCGTCGCACACGATCAGAAAGTGCTGAGATGGAGCCAAGAAATAAGCGGAATAAGAATTAGTGTGGGCTTTGGCTGACTTTTCAGCAATAATGCGGCGATCATGGTACTTTTTGTTGCCGTATAGGTTTCATATTCATAAATGCCCAAGTAAAGGTGTTAAATTCTAAATACTATTTTTAACTGACTTTTCATTCTTTTCTGCCTTTCTGGGGAAAAAAGTAGTTATAAAACTTCCTCACTTGGTCAGTTACCTTCTGCCTTTAGACCATCATTCTCTAAAAATACTAACGTCACGTGTTCACCAGCTTTGCAGAGTACACGCACTTTGGCAGAGATGTTGTTTTTGGTTGTGGCTCTAAATTTCAGAATGTCCTTAAGCTATTTTCTTTCTCTTCCTTGGAGAAACCAGCCTCAGAAAAGGATCCTTCAGCCTTTCTACCACAAGGAGCAGTTGAGGAGTTAAGACCTCTATTTTTAGGAAGGCATGACGTCATAACTCACATCCTTAGTGTGCGTGAGCACCCGATGCCTGGGTGCCAGCGTGCCCCTTACAGCAGCTACGTGATGGTTGATGCCCAGGTTGAAGGCAGTCATTTGTTAGACCCGTGTTCAGCATGTTACTCAGATGCTAGTATTGTAATGTGAGGTCACAAACAATAAATTTAAAGCATATGGACATAGTCTTCAGAAATGGAACTGGAAAACGATTATTGTTAGTCTTTCTTTTCACTTGGATGAATCGAATTTTTAACACTTTGAATCCCAGCTATTAAAAAGAATGTGCAATAAATGGATTTTGTAAATGAATAGCCTCTATATCAATTTAAATCATGTGCTTGAAACAGTTGTCTTGTGAAAGGCTGAGTGTAAGCTACTAGTTATTGGAAGAGGTCCGTCAGAAACGACCTCTGCGCAAAATGCCCGCCAGCTCCCAGCCCCTTCAGGCCCTGAAGCCTCTCTTTAGCACTTCAGAGTCGGTCTTCACCAGGGCTCCCCCCAAGCCCCGCCACTGCCCAACCCCAGCTCGGCAGCTTTCCAATAATATGGTAATGAATGCAGCGATGTTAAGGCAACAGTTTCATGAGTGTTCCAGGATGTTTGTGACTTCTGCTTTCCAGAGAATGTCTCCACTGATTGGCATTTTGGTATGCTCTCAGGTGTCTGGATAGTGTATGGAGTCTCGTTATGACTTGGAGTGAAGACACTTAAGTGGCCATTTGTTTTCTTTATGGGTTCCCTGAGGTTCAAATGGTTATATAAGAATTTGTCACAGTCATTTTATCTAAAATCATAGGTGGGTGTTAGGGAAACTAAAAGCAGCAGCACTCGCTGAATGTGTCAAAGGATCTGACATGGCATGAGTGAGCAGTGTCAAACAACATGGGGTTTAACATTGATGTGCTATTTACATCTGAGTTGCCTGAAATGATGCTAAAATGAAAACTGCTTGTTTCTGAAAAGTACACAGTCTGCTATGAATTAAGCTGGAAGTAATTACTACTTTAATTGCAGCAAAAGGACTTTGCAAGGCAGCAGTGAGACCCAAGACAGGGAGCCAGGCAAGTGAATTTATTTGGGTAATACTTGATTATGTACTTGGTTAGGGAGCCGTCACCACCTTGAGCACTCGCAGTACAAAGGTGACCAGAGGCCATCTGAAACTGTGGTTCTCAGTGGGGAGGAGAGGAAGATTTTGTTCCTCGGGACATTTGGCAATGTGGGGAGATGTTTTGGCTGTCACAACTATGGGGGTGAGGGGTTGCCACTGATATCAGTGGGTAGAGGGCTAGGGATGCTGCTAAACATCCTTTAACCCACAGGTCCACCCCCATGGAGTGGTTGCTGGGCGGCCATAACAAAGTGCCACAGGCTGGGTGGCTGAAACATATTTTTTTTCCCTCACGATTCTGGAGAGTAGCAGCCCAAGATCAAGTTGTCAATAGGGTTGGTTCCTTCTGAGAGCTCTCCTCTTGGCTTACAGATGGCCACCCTCTCACATGGTCTTTCTCCTTTGTTCTCACATCTGTGTCCTAATCTCCTCTTATAAGGAAACCAGTCATTCTGGATTGGGGCCCACCCATATGGCCTCATTTTACCCCAGTTACTACTTTAAAGACCCTATCTCCAATTACATTCTATCTGAGGTACTGGGGGTTAAGACTTCAACATATGATGAGCATTTGGGGACCCACAACACCCCACGATAAAGAGTTATTCAGTTCAGTTACTCAGAATGGTGCGTATATACAATGGAATATTACTTGGCCATTAAAAAGAGTAAAATCTCACCATTCGTGATAACATGAAATGACAGAGAAGGCAAATACCATATGATTTCACATATATGTGGAATCTAAAGAACTAAATAAGCGAACAAACAGACTTGTAGATGCAGTGGACAAAATGAGGTTTGCCAGAGAGGGTGGGGGAGAGGAAGCTAGGTGGAAAAGGTGGAGGGATTAAGAAGTACAAATAGGCAGTTACAGAATTGTGGGGGTGTAAAGTACAGCATAAGGAGTATGGTTAATAATATTATAATAACTATGTATGGTGCCGAGTGGATACTTGAATTATCGGGGGTGGGGGGATCACTTTGTAAATTATATAATTGTCTAACCAGCATGCTGTATATCTGAAACTAATATAAAGTAATATGTAATATCAACTGTAATAAAAAATTCTTTTAAAGAATTATCTGGTTCAAAATGTCATTGGCGCCAAAATTGAGAAATCCCCAATGTAAAGGAACTCTGAGTCTACTTGAAAAATAAGGCCAAAGGGGCATTTACAGAGTGAGCTCTGGTTGTTAACACGTAGCATACATTTAATACTTATACATTGAAAGAAAAGTATTTTTATATTTATTTGACAATAAGGAATTTAAGGTAAGTGTTAGATCCAGGATTGAAACCAATAAGCTTCTGATTCCAAACTTCGCCTTTTAATGCAAATATGATTCCCATCCCTAGTACTCCTTTTACCTCCTAACTCCCCTCCAGGGTGTAACACGATGACAGGCTTATGGTTTGAGAGGGTGCAGGTAAGCGGCGGTGTGTAATTTAGAAAGGATGTGTCAGCCTGTCCATTCATCCTCTGATCCCTTCTCTCTTCTTTATACCCTTCAATGAGAATCACTGGTCTAGTTGAAAAAATAATTCACACACATAAGTCACTGTGAGTAATGTAGGGAGGATGGTATGTGTTTAAAAAGTAATGCGTATGAAAAAGATTCACATCAACTGGGGTAGAAAATATAATGAATAGATACTTTTTCCTTGTGGCCCTTGGCCCTGTAGAATGAGAAGAAAGCAACTGTCTAGACCACTAGACTGATAACAGTTAACTGTGGATGAACACGAAATTTCACTCAGTTTTCTTGGAACTGGGGAAAAGGCAGAAGCAGTAATATTCTTAGTATCTGATCAAAGAAAATAACAATTCTTTAATGAGATACATTTTTCCCACTATGTCTTTTTTTAATATAAAAGTAATTGTGAACATTATAGGGGGAAATATTGCAGCCATTCGATTCATTACCATTTTGATAACCTTTCTTTGGTTTTAGTCTTAAGGTGCTTCAGATGTCCTTAGTGATAACCATGTGAGGCTACAAACAGGTCACACTGAGCTTGACACCTCCACGTCGCTGGTTTCACATCCCCACCTACACATAGGCTTTATGGAGGTATTTCCACATCTGTCCGGTATCCCTGGCCTCAGACTATTGAGAATGCAGGAACAAGCCCATGCCTGAATCACGTTGCTGCGCTCCTGATAGGCCCCGCTGGGCTTCTGCCACCCTGGCGGGTGCTCTGTCACACATACCACTGCTCGTGCTGCCCGAGGGTTCCACCTCGCCTGGGGTGCCGTCTCCGGATGCGTCCCTGAGGTACAAGCCTGCCAGGTGCCAGGGAGTCCCGGCCGTCAGTTGCTTTCACCGATTCTTGGCCTTACAGTGTTCCAGGTGGAAACAATGAGTGCTTTCCCAGGTTAGAGTGTGCTGTCACCTGGACGCAGTGTTCCTCATAAGAATTGACTTTTACCTCTTTGTCCTTTCCCCACTTTTTATCCCTTCTCCCTCTTTTTGTCCCTTCCCCCTCCTCTCCCTTCTCTGCCTTCTCTCAGCTATCATGACTTCATGGCAAGTAGTGTGCAAAACAAAATAAACTTTGCCCTCGTGGAACTTGCACACCAGAAAGGGGGATGAATGTTAATCAAATAATTACACAAATTACAGTTGTGGTAAGTGCAACAAAGCAGAGGTGCATGGCTGTATGAAAACATGCAGTAAAGGGATTTCATTTTTGCCCATACCCTGTAGGGAGCTTGAAAAGCAGTCCAAGGTTATGTTAATTACCCTAATCCCTCATCCTCTGTGTCTCCCATTCTCAGGAGCCTGTGCACCTACCTTCTCTTTTGGTGGAAAATAGAAAACGTTGAAATGCTCATGAAAGTCATCTCATGCAAATAGATGCCTATGTGTCCACTAACTTCACAACTATGTCAGACAACCTGGACAAGTCAGTTTGATAGGACTTAGCCATGACCAAGTCCACACTAATACACACACACTGTGTTTTCATTATGTCTTTTTTTTTTCTTTTTTAAAAACTTTATTTCTTTTCAGATAGGAGGAAAGGAGGGAGAAATAGAGGGAGAGAAACATTGATGTGTGAGAGAAACATCAGTCAATGACCTCATAAGCTCCCAACTGGGGACCTGGTTTGCAGCCCAGACATGTGCCCCAACCAGGAATCAAACAGACGACCCTTCAGTTTGCAGGCTGGCTCTCAGTCCACTGAGTCACACCAGGCAGGGCCACCGTTTTATCATAAAACACTTTCAGAGTACATTATCAGTCCTCTTTAATGATTGCATCATGAATCCATCTGGATCGTGTACATTTGCACAGTCTCCTGTTCTTGGACATTTAAGTTACTTTCCATTTTTTTCAAGTTTTTGATAATAGAATTTCTTAAATTAGATTCACAGAAATGGAATTGTTGGAATGTTTCTCTTAGTAAAAATATATGGGCAGGTTGTTTTCAAAATAGAGGACACCAG